TCACCGCGCGGCTCCTCCTCTCCCGGCATAAAGGTTACCTTTGTGTGTTTATAACCAAAATGAAATTGCAGCTCCTCAAAGCTGTAATTTGTACTTGGGGGAACATAATGTTTTTGTTTAGCTCTCGCAGGGATTGTACCAAAGCGCGGTGACAGAGGGCTGGAGTGTTTGGGCTGATGATAGCTGGCAACAGGCTCCGCCTTTGGGGCCTGCTAAAAACAGCTTTAGTTAAGCGGTATCGATGATAAACAAAATGCCAGGGAAGGTTGGTCGTGCTGTGAGGAAGAGGACCCCCCTCCTGCAGCGGGAGAGGCTGGCCTTCCTCAGTTCCTGCTCTTCCCCTTCCCACAAACCAAGCCAAGAGAGCCTGGCCGTGGTCTTCCAAGCCGTGACATTGGAGACTTCCATCCCATCTCAGAAAGACAATAGGGGGAAGGAGCGGTGTACGGCCAGCCCACAAAGGCAGGCTTATCTCGGGAGATGCTCTATAGGCTTAAACAGAGAGGAAAGGGGAAATAAGGGAAAATGGGACACTTAAGGTAAACTTTAAAATGTCTGAGTTGGAAACGTGCCAGATAACATGTCCGCTTTTGGGTTTATAATGATTACAACGTGTTTCCTCTTTTCCTTGTTGGTAAGCGGCTTTTGTTTGTTCCTGTTCTGGCAAGGGCTGAGGGGCTGGAGCTCTCTGTGGCACTTTAGTGGGTAAGGCTGTAGTGCCGTGAATGTGCCATCTTCCAGTTCCTGGCATTGTCATTTGGGCCCTTTCATCTCGGGGAAAGGCGCAGTGCTGCGTTTCGTGTGGTTTGCTCAGGGAGGACACTTAGGGCTGGGCTGGAGAGCCGAAGGCCTCGCAGAGAGCCTCTCAGCAGCACGAGTGCAGGCAGAAGGGATGCTAAAAGGCTTGCCAGCAGAGAGGTGCCTTCATCTGTTACCATCTCCACATGGTCGTGCTGAGTGTTGTGTTCAGTGATGTACCTGGAATTAATTTGGGAACCCTCCCAATTAATTTTAGGGGGAAAGGCGCCAACATAAACTTGAGGCAGGGTCTGGTGGTTTTGCACAGTATTCTTCGATACGTTTCCAGGGATATTTTGCCAGGAGAAACAGAAGGTTTAAGAAAGAGCATGAGAAGGGACAGTGACTTGCCTTGACTGTGAGGCTCCTGCCTGAGTAAAGAGTGTTGCTGAGGAGATGTAGCATGAGAAACGAAAGGAGGAGAGGGTGCTTGCAGGGGAAGAGAAGCTGGAAAGAAGAGCCTCTCCGAGGTCCTGGAGTCAGGCAGGTTTCTGAGCAGTGCTCAGACGGGCCCTGTCCCATCCTCCACCTCTTTCAGGAAGAGCAGAGCTGCTCCTGGCCTCTGTTTCTGCATATGCTTTATCACAATGCCCACCCTTTGCTTTTCACCAGCCTGCTTAGAGTAACAAAGTACCACCACCCTTGGAGCCTTTTTGCACTGTAGTCTCTGCAGACTTGGGACTCTGCAGGTACCTATACAGGACATTTCTGTGAAGGCAAGTTGTGATTGTTTATCATATAGTTAGTTCATCTAACAAAAGGCAGTCCTATGCACAGAGACATCTTGAATTAACCATGGTGGCTGCTTGGGTGCTGAGAAGTTATCATATCTTCCAGGAACACCAAAACATTGCATTCCTTCTAGGCTATTTTCTGGCTGCTTTGCTATTAATAACTTTGTCCTGAAATAGCACTTTCGTATTGCAGCATGTTAAAATCCATAACAACTGGGTGGGTGTCCTCAGTCAACAGACTGAAGAAAGTGAGCCAGTGTGAGGGCTGTGGTTGTGTAAATTGGCTCCCAGAGGTGTGCTGACTCTGAGCAGCTGGTGATCTAACCTGCTGAGCTTTCTCAAGTCAATAAAAGGCAGGGCTCTTGTTGGGATCTCCTGGCTTCCCGTGCAGCTTCCCTGCAGCCTGTGTGGCTGTACAGCCCGCTGGAAACCTCGCTGACACGAGGCTGGTCTGGTGAACCTTTCACGAGGGGTGAGCAGTGCCTCATCCAGTTCTGAGAGCACACCTTGAGTTGTTATTGATATCCACAACAGGCCCTGCCAAATACCCTTTTTGTTTGACCTAATGCATTTTGGGGGACAGCGGGTCTCCTCAGATGCCTGTGGGCACTGTGTGGTTGGGGCAGTACTACCGGGCACTTTACTAATGTGCTCTACAGATGGCTTTTAAAGAGGACCAGGCTGCTTTTACCAGGGTGTGCAGCAGCACAGGAGCACTGCCTGTGAGATCTGAGGCAGATCAAAATCCCTAGTGGCTAGAGTTTTGGAACAGGCACCTTGATGGAGCAGTGTAGAAAAGAAAAGCAATGGAAAACCACCCTTGGCTGTAAAGGAGCATCCTCTGAAGGGCACCTGGCTTTTGAGAGAGAGGCAAGTTTCCCTGCAGTGGGGTGTTCAAGTGTGAACTGTTGTTTCTGGGCAAAAATGGTGAAAAGTGGCAGAAACCAGTTTGTGAATACCTCCTTATAGACTGCCCAAATTTTGGAGAGAAAAAAAAAAAGAGAGAGAGAGAGAAAAGAAACAAATCCAAGTATCAGGATGTCTGAACTTGGTGTTGTTTTTAAATTCTTCCCATTTTTCCATTTGGGTCACGTTGTTCCTAATAAAGCAGACAAGATTTGTAATATAAAATAACCATCTCCAGCCGTCAAAGAACATATCAAGTTCTGCTTCACGTAAGCCACAGATTTAAATGGTGCTAATCAAGAGCAGAATTTCATGGAGTTTGAATGTTGGCAGGGCCCTCAGCTGATGTAAACAGGAACCATGAAATCAGGGCTGCTCTGTGCTGATTTACCCCAGCTGAGAATCCGGTTGTGCTTCCCATCGCTTTGTTTCTAGTCTAAGGTTTCTTTCCTCTGTGCAACGATGAAACTCGAGTGTTGTCTTCTCTTTTCCTTGCCTAGACTGGCATATTTATCACAGTAGCACATGCATCTTCTTGCTCTTGTAAGATAACAAATTGCCCAAATGATTTAAAAAAAAAATAAACAAAGAAAAAAGCAGCAAATGGGTTTGGGTAAATGTGCATGGACAGTTGCTGTGCTTATGTTCAGGTCTAAACTCCAGCCAAATGGGCACTGCTCCCTGTGTGGCTGGAGGCAGGCTTTGGTCCTATATATTTGTTATCATTTAGAAATGGTATAAATGCTCTTTTATTCTTTTTTTTTTTGTTCTGCCCTTATTCTATGACACATTCCCCTCCTTCCTCCTGCTTCCTGTTTCCCAGACAGATCCCCACCTCTTCCTCCCCACAGCCAAAAATAATACAAAAGGGAACATACAAAAGGTTTTTTGAGCCATGAGATGTGATAATGAATGGGCATCATGTACAGGGTAGATAGAGTAGTCCCAGCAGAAAAATGCTGATCATGCGAAGTCAGGAGGAGGAATTGCAGGGTCTGGGTTAGGAATTCAGTGTTATGCATTCTCTTGTTTAATATGTTTTTAGGTCAGAGCAAAGGAGATGACTCATGACCCAGGATTTTTATGAAACGTAGCATATACTGGGTGTATTGATCACATCCCCAGCTTTGATTTAGAAAGTGAATTGTAAAGAATTGTGCCTACAAATATGCTGTTGCCTGAGAGTGCACGGGCAGGACTGGTGTGTACGTTGTGTCAGCTGCTGAGGAGGAACTGCTGAACTATCTCTGGATGTTAATGAAACATCTCCAAAGAGTACACTTTTTCATTCATGATCCTATCCAGAGTAATTACAAGGAATCCAATTCTGCTGTGTAACCCCGTTGCAATACTTTGTAAGGATGAATCTTAATTGAGGATCAAGACCTAAAATATTGCTCTGCTTTGTACATTCCACAGCCGTCAGCATTTGCTCTCACACATCCATTTCCTGTGAGGAGTTTACCACACTCTGGGGCATGCTTTGAACCCGATCCTTTGATTTCAGTGGGAGCTGGGACTGGCAATCCCAGGAGCTAAACTGAGCCTTTTCTGCTGTGTAGAATGCTAAATTAAAGCTGCTTCCAAACCGGATGGCAACAGGTTAAATATGCACTTGATGAAATTTGGAGAAAAGTTTGCAGTGAGGGCCACTAGCCAGCTCAGTCAGAGCCATCCAAGTTTGTTAGATAAATAACAAAATGTCTGGTCTCTTCAGAAAGATTTTGGAACACACTTATGTTACATATATATAATTTCTCCAGTGGTCATTGTATGGCTGCTTGCTGTTTGGACTACCTGGCATCACGCAGGGCATGTGCTGGTGTGGAAGGACACATGGGTTTTCATCATATTTTGGTACCAGCACAATGGTCTGCCTCCACTTTGGAATTCTTGATTTGGCTATCCTTAATCCTTTGCTGACATTGATGCTATTTTTTGTTGTTGTGACTGGCTGCAGATATTTTCTCTATCTTTATTAAACAGTCAAAAAAACCAACAAAAGCCTTTCAAAGCCCTCATTCAGTGTTTGCAGATTTCTTTCATCCTTTTTTTTTTTTTATCTAGATGCCTATCAAATTCAGCCACGCTTAGCTGCAGTCCTTTGTTCAATATCTCACAACCAGTGGACTGAAATTCTCTATGCTTAGAGCCCAAATGCCACAGATTTTTAGCAAACAAATTTGGCTTGTCCATTTTAAAGAATAATGGATAGATAGAATATATTTCATTATCACTAAGTTTGGGAACAAATCTTGGTTTTGACTCCTTGCTTAGAGTTACGGGTTCAGATTTTTTTCTGTTTGAGACATTTGTTTTGCCATCCGTTTCTGATGGTGAAAATGCTAATTTATGGCCAAATTGGGTTTGATCCTTTGAGCATCAGAAGCTGGTCAAAGTCTTTGATAACTTTGTTTCATCACGCCCCAGAGCAAGAGGGAAATGACTTGTTTATATAAAGGTGGTGATTCCATCCTTTAAATAAATCTACAGAACTTTTTACATTGAAATGTATCTTTGCTGAAAGTGATCGAGGCTTCTGGTTTTAGCATCTTTTATGCTCTGAAAAAAAAGCAGCACTGTGGAGAAAGGGAGAAAACCATCTGGGTTGTGGTAGGAGAGTGTTGTGCATGAGTAACAGTGAATGGAATGGTTTAGTTAAATAAGTTTCCTTACAGGTTCATTCTCTGGGCTGAGACCAGGGCGGGGAAATGGGCCCAGGCCATTGTTACAGTGCAGAAATGAGCAAACAGAGGCTTGAGTCGTGTGTAGTGTAGGCAGGAGTTAATAGACTTGTCCATTGCAGGCTCTGGTGGCTAGTGAGACCCATTCAGCTGCTGTCAGAGCAGAGGAGTACAGTGAAGTTACCTCAGGAGAAGAAGTCTTTGCATATCAGATGATCTTTGCTGACTGTGCGTGTGCCTGTGTTTCTCTCTTGGCAAAAAGCCTGTTTGCTGATCATACAGTTAATTTGATTAACTTCATATATACAAAGGATTAAGAAGGTGCATGCAGATATTTGCTACGAGTTATCTGTCATTAAGTGTCTTATTGTTGTACCTGAAAAGTGGTTTTAACTGTGTTTTTTCAGTGAGCTGTGTAACACATAGGCAAGGTGTGCTGGCACACTACGAGGAGCTTTAGCTTAAATCCTTTGCAATAGGAATTATTCACTCTTGTCTGAAACTTTCCCTTACTGTTCATTCATTTCAGACTCTGATTTTCCTGTTTTCCCAAGTGTACTTTGCAAAACTACTTATTGTAATACTAAAACTCTGTTTATTTTATGCTGTCCCAAATGTTAAGCTTCTGATGCGCTGCAGCTTTTTGACAACGAACAACTGCCCAGTAGAGGTTGCCAAGAGGAAAAGCTGGAGGTTTTGGCAGCTGGGTGGGAACAGATGACTCTCTTGGAAGAGATGGGCAAGAGTATTGGGTTTTGTTGTTCAGGAAGTAATGAAGGCTTTTGGCAGTGGGAAGAAGACACAAGGAGCATCTTTCAAACCGTGTTTTAGGGTTAAGGACAAAAGCAACATGGTGTTTTAGGGAAAGGAGGTGAGCTTTGAATCTCTTATTCCTCTTAACCTTAGAGCTGCCCCTCAACATGCAGTTCAGTGTCTGCCTCTGGCAGTAGCAGTGCAAGTACCAGCACAGCTCTGGGCTTTCACTGTTCTGCTGGAGAATGAAATGCTGACACCGAGCACTGGGCCTGGTGCTGCTGTTTGCTCTGAGCTTGGGCGAAGTGTGCTGGCACTAACCTTAGAGTTAGTGTTTTGGGGTGCCTTCAGGTTGAGGGTGCCTTCTCTTCCCTTGCAGTCTTGAGACTTTCACAGTTATTTAAAGGTACAGATGAGGTCCCTTTTTTTACATGCCAGTGGGACCATAATGGAGGTTGAGATTTGACTTTCACTACTGCATGCATAATTCTACTTTGCTTGTATAAATTACTCTGCAAAGAAATCCTTTCAAGTATTGTAAACAGAGCTGGTAGATGAGACCTGCTTGTCAACCACATTTGACATTTTCATTCTCTGTCACAGCCAGATCTAAGTATCCAACTTCTTAATTAGGTTTTGGATAAATTCCAAGATCGGTGCTGGATGTCCAATTATATCTGCAGTAAAATGGCACTTAGAAGTAACTGCCATTTTCAGATAAGAACTTCCCATGATTTGCTTGAAAAATTCAAAATCAAGATGTTATAAAATACTTCAGCATCAGTAGAACAGAGGAACCCAGTGAACGTGTTGATAAAGAGTCTTCCCTGAGTTTCTGTCCTCAAATCATTATAAATGGTTGGGCTTTGTTTTACCCATGGCAGAACTTTACTGATGCCACCTTGTTGTGTCTTTAGTTGTGTGAAATGCCCGGTAGCTGCAGTGCTGTGAAGATTTCACAGTCTAGGCAGATGCTTCCAAAGTGACCTGTGATTTTTCAGGAGCCTGGATGTGTGGGTCAAATTCTGCTACACCACGTGGCTGCCAGTCGAGACCAGTGCTTTGTAATTCCCTGGAGCAAGTTGAGGTTTATACCCTGGGAACTGAGAGTTCAGTTTGTGTCAGCGGTTGGAATTAGGTTTTCCAGAGCTGTCTGAACCTGAACCCAGATGCCAAAGCTGTGTCCCTGCAGAGGCCCCTGGCCCATGGATGTGTCTTTCTTCCATCATTCTCTATGAAGAGGTGTAGAGACTCTACATCAGGTACCTCTGTATAAAAAGGTACCCGACAGAGACATCAGGTGTGCCTTGAGGCTTGGCACATGGATGGTAGTGGTGGCCCCAGCTAGAGCCTTCCTGCTGGTTGCTCTCTGGGTGGGAGTGATAAATTCAAACATCAGCATCATGAGTGGTGACTCCAGCTCCCTCATATCTGGATTTTGAATGTTCTGAATTGTACTTCAACCTGCACAGCTGAAAGCACAACCTAAAACTTGGGCTATCTGAGCCAAACTGAGTATCTGCAAGTCTGGGAGGGATTGGTGAGCCTGGGGTTTGTCTTCTTGTTGCAGTTAGTAGGAAAACTGTCTTGATTCCTGCATGGGTGTGAGCTCTGCTGAAAGTGGTACACATGTATCACATCTCTACTATCAGAGGCACATGCTGGGTTTCTCTTGCATTGTATTTCCTAGTGGTAAGCATATTTAGTGTGTTCAGTAAATAATGTTTACTTTCAGTAGGTGAGGTCCAGAGATAAGAATACAGGTAGATTAGAGGTCTGAATTGACAGACGTGCTGAACACTGAATTTCCCTGCATCAAGAAGTGATCATGGTGTGCAGTTTACATGTATTCTGCTGCTGCACGTGCCCCAGAGGAATGAGATGATAATATAATGTGGGAACAAAGAGATGGTTTGTGTTAGTGGTGTGTAGGCAGGAAGCACACAGCTTTTCTTGCAGGTGATAGAAGCGTGCCTCTGCTGGGGGAGTGAGCCTCTTTGCAAGGGCATCCAAAATGGAAAGATCAGACTGAGGCCTGGTTGAGTTTGTCCCCATGCCAGACTGCTGGCCTTTCTTAGCTGGCTTCCTGCAAGTCTGTGGGGTCTTGCAAAGTCACAGCCTTTTGTTTGTCAGCCATGAATCATCATTTCTTTTAACTGGCGAAATCCAGGAGCAAGGTGCAAGGAGAGTGACCCTTGTTAATCAGGGCAGATGGGCTGAAGTGGTGGGTCACTTTTTATCCCTAGCCTGCAAAACTGGCTTGACAGCAAACAGCAGTCTTATGGATCTTCTTGTGTGCCTGAAGGGAGCCATCTTCCTCTTCCCACTGCAATTTCTTAAAGTCTTTATTGCTATATGTCCTACAGGCACTGGCTAAGAAAGTTTAATGCCCACCAACTTGCCTGCAAAGCAGCAACCAAAGGGTAGTCAGACTCAATGTCACGTGTGATATGTATTACATTGGTTACACAAAGCTCCTCTCTTGCATGGGTGGTGAAGGAGAAGCTGGACATCAAACTGAGCTATGAGAAGAGCACGACAAGAGCTCCTGTCTTAGGTATCCTTGGGCCATTTTCCTACCAGGCTGGTAGTGGAAGTAGATCTGCAGGAGTTCACCATCATCTGAATCCACCAGTTTGGGTTCATAGCTCTGTGGATAATGGTCAGTATCCTGCTGCTCCCACAAAAGAATTAGTAGTTTTTGATGTGCTCCCTGGCAAGTAAGTGTGGGAAGGGAGACCGAAGAACTCTCCTGCCCCTGCTGATGATCCACTGGGCTGGAGTGGGGACCTTGGTGGTTTCAGCCTGACTGGTTTCTCCAGGTCAGAGCTTGAGAAGAGGAGGTGGGCTTAGCTGGCAAAAAATGTTTTGCCAGGGCAGGAGTGAGGAAAGCAGTCTGGTTTCAGACCCCTGCCCCAACACTTCCCGGGTGGTTTGGGGAGAAGGGAAGGTCACATGAGGTCCTTGGCAGAACCTGGCAGGTGCATATGGGGAAGGACGCTTTTGTTTCTGCCCAGGGTTGCCTGCTCTGGCAAATGCAGCAGCAGGTAGGGCCCTGCGGGGGGTAGGAGAGGGTCTGTGGCCATACCCCCTCACCAGGCTTTGTCTGCCATGCAGATTAGGTGGAGGGCTTTTCTGGCTCAGCGTTGCTAGGCTCTTCCCCCCTATTGACTTGATGGAGAGGCTGAGGGGGGTGGGAGGGAGGGGCTGCATTATATTGTTTCTTTGAGTTGTTTTTTTTTCCCCCCCTCTATGGGGAGATGGGCTTGATCCACTGGTTTTGGATTTCAGAGGCAGAAGGCAAGACATGACCAGCTGGTGTCTTGAAATGGCACAGGTGCCATGGCTGCGGGAGGGGGGAGCCAGGAATAATTACAGGTTTCTGAAGCATCAGGCTCTGCCTGAAAAGGGCTCATCGAGAAACTGCTCTTTATGGAAAATTAATGGTGAAGCTGGAAAAAACTGTCAGGCCCACTATTGTTGTCATGGGGTAGTGATGCCTTAAAGGAGCAGCACCTCCTGCTCGCCTCCCCTCTACGGGCAGCCTGGAGCTGCTGTGCAGCTCTCTGATCCCACAGCAATTGAAATCTCATGTCACTGTCATCACATTTAATGGCCTTGAGTCCCTGTCTCTTTTCTCCCCCCCCCTGTTTCCACCAGTCATTTGTGATTATGCTTGCTACTTTCCTTTGGAAGCCTTTTATTTATTAGGCCCCTAAACCTGTTTCTACCCCACTGGGTGAAGGCTAAGTGGGCCAGAAAGCCCAAATTACACGTTGTGTGGAATTCAAAAGCATCGCCTCTCCTGGTGGTGGGGGTTGTTCCTGAAAGACATGTTGGAAAGCTGCTCCCAAAACCTGTTTAGGTTTCATCTGGGTAGAGACCAGATCCCCAGCTAAAGCCATTCCTCACAGGCCCAGAAATGCACTTTAAAAACAAAACAGAAAGGTTGCCTAGAGCAAGTACTGACTGGTGAGTGTCCCACCTCCTGGCCCATGTGCAGACACATCGTACAGCCAGTGTCATGCCTCTGAAAATAACCTGAAGTGTAGCAGCTCTCATTTGCATGGGTTGCTGTTCTCTTGCTTTCTGTCAAAGTCCATCTCTACAGCTCAGGTCTATCATCAGCTATTAATTTAAAAAGAAACAGCAGGTAACTGACCAGTAGGTTCTGTTGTGAACCCTGAAAATCGTTCCACCACGCTGGATCTGCAGCCAGCAGTGCTGCTTCCTGGGTACATTGAAAACAATGATCTTGAATTACCTGGCACCTCCCAGAGAGCTGTGGGGCCTCTTTATGTGCCCACTGGTGGGACTTTTGTACACAGAAGCAGGAGTCTCTGTCACTCCTCTGCTCATAGGAAGGTTTTGTTTCTTGATCAGGTGCTGGACTCTACAGGTTGAGATGCAGTTGAATCGCCAGCTCCCATAGGCTGAAAATTTTTGCCTAAAATCCCTTTCTTACTGTCTCTAGGAGTGTTCTCTGAGGACTAGTTTTTATAGGTTTCTTAAATGTATTAGAATGTCTCTTTCTCCGAGTCTTGTAAAGTCACACTGATGGTATTAAACCAGCTGGCCTTTCAGGCAGTGAAAAATAAAAAATAGCACTAATAAACTCCCTGAAAAGCTCCTGAAACAGTTTTCTATAAACAATAAAAGTTTATAATGTTGGTTATGGAGAACACTGGGCAGCGTGATGGTGCCTGGAGGCTTTATTTGGGCTAGCTCAGGGCACCTCATAACAAGGTGCATTCAAACAGAAGGCTCACCCAGTGCTTGTGCTGGTGATCACTGCTGTGGAGATACAGGAGCACATTTTTATGTGTCAGCCTCTTTGCCTGCAACTTCACCTGCCTTTTGATAAAGCCTGTGTTGGTGTGCAAGTCTGGTGTCCTGTACACAGGAAGCCCTGTTAGACCAGATGTCCCAAAAATACTCTAAAACTGTGATAGTGTGTCCCTTTTTCCTGTCACATCTTTCCTTCTCCCAAGTCCTTTAAACAAGCTGTGGTGTCACGGGAAGTTTTTCTCTGTCTCGTATCTTAAAATGCTGTGCTTTGGAGTCGTGCTGTTTTAGGAATGGGTTGGGCTCCAGCCAGCTCCACTGAGTTAAATTTGGAGTGAAAGTTAATGTTTGTGAAGGAAGGGGAAGCAGTTCTTTGGGGAGGTGACTCTCTGTTTGTACGTGGCCAGGCGACGGGCGATTACGACAGTTTTGTATGAAGTGACTGTTGGCCAGACTGCACTTAAGGGTGGGGAGGGCCTGGTGTCCATGGGACAATGTACAGGCTTTCACCCAAATGTAATGGATGCTTCCTGGTTGTTGCATCTTCACTTCTACCATACTATCCCCTGCCATACGTGGTTGTGCCTCCACTCTGTCTCTGAGCAGCATCAAGCAAGTGCCAAATCCTCATGTCTCCCAAACGGGGCCCATCTCACGAGGAGGTGCTGGTGTGCACAAGTGCTGGCTCCAGACCCCCTTGCTGTCCTGGCCTGGGTGGGAGCTGTGCTGTGACCTCTCTCTCACGTGCTTCCTCTCCCTTCCCCTCCCGCAGACATGCCTGGAGCTGGAGCGGTACCTGCAGACTGAACCGCGGAGGATCTCCGAGACCTTCGGCGAGGACCTGGACTGCTTCCTGCACACCTCCTCAGCCCCCGAGGCAGAGGACGGTCTCCGACGGCTGGACCCCATCCTTCTACCAGTGGAGACGAGTCCCTGTGACAAAGCCAACATGGACATTATCCTCTCGCGGGACAAGCTGCTGTCCGAGACGTGCCTCAGCCTGCAGCCCACCAGCTCTTCCACAGAGGGCTACACAGCCGTCAACCAGGCCCAGCTCAATGCAGTGACCTCACTCACCCCCCCTTCCTCCCCAGAGCTCAGCCGCCACCTCGTGAAAACCTCACAGACTCTCTCAGCGGTGGATGGCACCGTCACGTTGAAACTGGTGGCCAAGAAAACTTCACTCAGCTCTGTGAAAGTGGGTGTCGCAACAGCGACGGCGGGGACGATAAAAGGCGGGCAGAGTGACAGTGAACAAGGAGGTTCAGGGGCAGAGGCATCCCCAGAGAACAAGAAGAGGGTTCATCGCTGTCAGTTTAATGGGTGCCGGAAGGTTTATACTAAGAGCTCCCACTTAAAGGCTCACCAGAGGACTCATACAGGTACTTGTGTAGGATGCTTCTCTCGTCTTGTCCTCCCACCACCTAACCTTAACCATCTCCTTTGATTTTCGTTTAGAAAAGGAAAAAAAAAATTATTCTGAAAGTTCAAACTTCCATCTATGAAACGGGGCAGTGGAAGTCTGGTAGGCCAGCAAATGTACCCATTATTCATTAGAACAGGGGAGTTCACCATCTACCTTTAATGTGTTGGGGTTTCATATGTCTGACGAGGCTTGAGGCAGAGTAATTTTAAGAGACATAAGGGATGTAGATGTATCATCAGCTCTAAAACTGTGGGTGTGCCAGTTTGGGTTTTCGGCGCTCACTTACCCAAGACAACTTGAAAAACGTTAATTTTAGTCAAGTGTTAATTGCCTCAAATAGAAAATAGTGTGGGTAGGTTTTTGCTGCCTTTTGTATGGGGGAAAGAAAAAAATGTATTTCAGATCTGAGAGCCGTGGTTTAGGAGCAGTGTGTGCGTGAGAGGGGGAGTGTGTAGATGCAGAGCTGTGGGTATGCAGATGCACGTACCCTTGAGACACTTGTGGTCTTGGACTTCTCAGGTGGTAAAACAGTGGGAAACAAAGAAAGTATGACATGGAGTTTGAACAGAGTAGCATAGGTAGAGAGGGAGTGGGATGTATGGAAAGATGCCAGGCTGTTATTTTGGGGAATATTTACTAATGTTGCATGTAAGCTTGAAGCATGCTGAATTTGGCTGCTCAGGATCCCCACTCCTATCATTTGTTCATAGTCCCCAGCAGCTTTTCGGCTGGTATTCGTTGGCAGGAATAGCTGTGCAGTTCGTGCGTGTTGCTGCTTTGTTCTAAGCTTCACATGTGATGAGAGATGATAAATTCCCATTAGCACTCTCTTATCATGTGATTGTTCTTGTTTCCAGAGGGATTGCTGTAATCAGTTTCCTCAATTTTACTGTAAAATGTGTGGTCTCTTACAATAACTGCACATTTAATTCACGATCTTATCATGCAGGCAGATTCCTAGAAGCAAGGTTGTTCTTGCAAGGTAGAAAATAACATGTTGGACCAGTGTAGTAAATCAAACAAATGTGTGGGTTGTTAAGAGAGCTGCATCCATCAAGTATTAGGCAGCCCCATGAAAGTTACATGGTCTGAGGTATAAATCATGTTAAGACATAGAAGGCATTGGTTTTGATCTTTTTAAATGGACTTTCTAGTGCTTTGATTAGGGATAACCACCTTGCCAGGAGTGACCTCACCTGTGATCCAGTGATTTGAAAGCCAATGAAGGCAGTGCAGTGATTTTAAAATTTGTGTGATCAGGAGGCTCCTTGTAGCACCAGTGCTGCTGTGAGGCTGGCCCTGGCCAGGGCTGTGTGGGGGGACATCCCAGCCGAGGTCTCCAGCGGGTGGTGGGGCTCCTGTGGAGGCATAAATGCAGAGTGAGAGCCATTGACACAGTGCCCTTGTCTGTTCTGCTGTGACCTCTGCATTTCTCCTCAAGCTGGAGGTGATGGGTCTTAACACAGCTCATCCTGAAGTTAGTCAGGGATGTGACATGATCGCCTGGAAAGGGTGAACTTGTGGAGTTCTGGCTCTGTCACCCAGTCAGTGGGGATGTGAACAAAGAGTCCTGAGAGAGCAGATGCAGAAACCACACCACCTCCAGCCTTTGGAGTCAAAATCCTGCCAGGCTTTCCATGCTGGTGAACCCATCCTTAGGCCTGGTTTGATTTTGTATCTGAGTTCAAAACCTTTTTCTCAGTAACATCAACATGTGAAATCTTGCTTTACAATTAATCCATGACAAGAAACATTGCTCACTGGCCCTGTGATACTTCTGTTGAATAGCCTTAGACTGTGCATGGTGCCACTGATGTGCACGTGCCTGTCCATCCACAGCACCACTCAGCATGGTGAGAAAGGCAAATCAGAAGTCAAAGGCAGGTGGGAAAGACCTGTGTCAGGTGTTGAGGCTGCAGCTTCACCAGAGCAGTGCCCACACCTCCTGCTCCCAGCACCTCACCTGTTGCAGCCTCACTGTTAAAGTACATCTCTGATGCAGAACCTGGGAGCAGGTAGGCACCTGGCTCCCATTTTTCTCTGTGGAAAGCACGTTGTCTCAATACCTTTGGACATTTACATCTCAGGAGCAACCTGAGTGAATCGAGGGGAGGGGTGTGATAGGTTTATCTAACTAGCTTATCTGAGTCCAAAGCACAAAGTCATTCAGCCCCCTTCCCCCTGCTCAAGTGCTCTGTTCCCTTAAAAAACACTGACTGGTGGATGCCTTAAATTAGAGCTGGTACAATCAAGACATTAAGTCTGCTCATGCTGACCTCTGCAGTGGGGTTCCCCACAGGGAGTTCCAGCCTCCAGCCACAGAGAGGGACATAGAGGAGTAGCTATGGAAATTTAGGACTGATTTTGAATGGCAGGGCTGCCTCCTTTCCCATCCATGCCTTCAGGGCAGGAGGCAGGGAGCCCTTCTCTCCATCGGGCTTTGTTTTTTCCAGGCCCTGAGCTGAGCTGAGTGTGCTGTGGGTAACGAATGCACTTAGTAGTGCCAATGGCTAGTGGCCACTTGGCTTAGTCAGCGGCTGAGCCAGAGGGTCTGAAATGATTGCAGGATATTTTCCTTTGGCTGGTGGTTTGTTAGCATGTCATGCAGGAGCAGCCTGCCAGCGCGGGCTGGGGGTAAAGGGGTGTGAGTGCAGACAAAGAGCTCTCAGAGCGGGGTTCAGAGGCAGGGAGGCAGATGGGGGCTGGTCACCCAGCTCGCACGTGTGGAGTCCACTTGCTGGATGGAGGGGATTTACTGCAGTGCATGAGAACAAGAGGAGCATGGGCTAGGGAGCTGGGGCTGCAGCCCGGCGGAAGGAGGCTGCATTCCTTTCGGCCCTATGTAAGGCTGACCAGACAGATGCTGGCTGGCCTTCCTTGCTGCTGCCTGAGGAGCCAGCCTGGGCTGCAGGCAACACAGACTGACAGCAGCTTTCTGGATTGGAGATGATCTTCTCTTAGGGCTTTGCTTTGCTGGGGAGCCCAGGGACAGTCAAGCCCCCACGTTGTACTTGGTGTAGCCCCCACGTTGCTCTCCTGCATCTCATCTCGTCTGCTAGGGAATCAGGACAGTGCTGTAAGGCCCATCAGTGGTTGAACTGGTTATGAAACCACCTTCTGGATGACCTTCGTAGAGGAAAAAACAATCCTCTGTGTGGGAGAGAATTTAATCTGGAAGGGAAAAACATTGTCTGGATGGAAAGGGAAATTAAAATATTTGAATGAATTCGAAGTAAGATGGGGCATCTAAAGGGTGTATAAAGGGACTAAGAGCAGTGGTGGAACTGCCTGTTAGAGGGCAGCAAAGAAGCCACTCAGGGGACAAATAATGAGTGAGCCTGTAAGCTGGAGGAAAAGGTGAGCTGCAGGTTTGGACAGAGCCTGCTGCCAGTGTGAGGTAAAAACATCTGAAGAAGGAGCCAGGAGTGGCACAGTAATCCAACCTTAGCACATTGTCTCACAGTTTTATTCATGGAGCAGGCATCAGTGCAAACAGTGACGTTTGTCTCTTGGGAGACAGAAATTTTCATCCAGCCTTCACACATGCATGGTGATGAATTGCCAATGTGATGGGGAGTGGAGAGGGGAGGAATCCAAACGAGCCAAACCCATGTATAGTCATCACCACCTCCTAAATTAGAAAACAGGATATCTGGATGCAAGTAAGTCCAAGGGTGAGCTGGCCTGTGACCTATGGAAAGATTAGTCATGGGATGTGGCTGTGGCTCCATGATCAGAGATCTCTGGAGGAGATTTCTATCTCCTGACAAAATTATTCATATCAGCCTTTCTTACAGTAATACAGAGGGAAAGGTGTGAGATGGCCTGGGTGCTTTCTGGCCAGAGGTAAAGCATCACCTATAAACTGACTAAGAAACCCTTAAGATTGGGATACTGATAAAAAATTCCCTTTAGAGACTTCTGCTAAGGTTTGTGTTTTATGAGTATCAGAAGGTTTGGGTCTTTTTTTTTCTTTATCCACCTAAAGCTGGGATCTAATACAACCTAAGCTCAAGTCTGAGAAACAGCACTTGGGCACATCACATCTATATTTAGGTTTCTAAAGCCTAAACAAGTGGGAAATAACCATGTAAATAGATGTTACCAGTCTACATGCAATCTCAAGACAGCACTTAAGTGGAGTTTGTTTCACGTTGTCAGAACATCTTATTTTAAATTACATAGTTCTTTGATCCAAAGGGCTGGGTGAGAGTAACTGAAGTAAACAAATCCACCCTCCAGGAAAACAGATTACTACATTTCCAAGAAAAAGACAAGAGACACAAGAGTATTAGAAAGAGCATCCATGAACAGCAAGGTTTTTGAGATGGGATTTTAAACAACAGAGATGCACTTTCCTAAAGTGCTGGGGATAGAAGGGGAAATGTCCAGAATTTGGAAATGATCAGAAAAGACCAAACTGAGTAGGTTGGATGATAGATAAAGAAGATGAATACAAAGTAAAGGGATAATAGGGAAAATAAAGACAGTCTGTGTCAGTGATACCCCATGCATGGGAAGCTGCATTGCTGCATTGTGTTAGTGTGGTGGCACTCGTGAACAGAAAGCCAATTAAGGAGAAGGAAAAGCAAGTAGCCAAGCATGGCACCAATTCTGCAGGCTAAAAGGTTTTGAATAATGACTTAGGGAGAAGCATTTGGGTGAACAGGATAGGCAGTATGGGAGAAATTAAAACCAAAGTCCAAGATCTTGTGTTGTAGAGAGCCACGGGTTTGTAGTGAGTCTTCAGCTCTGAGTGCAGGACTGCAACCCCACAAGAGGACACGGAGGATGCTGAAGCCCCCATGGCAGAAGCTGAAGCAACAGGTAAATTTGCCACTCAAAATGAGAGCAAGTGAATTGAGGGAAGAGGGATGTGTGAGGAAGACCTTCATTCAGGGCTGGATTTGGTTTGGGTACTGCTGCATTGCCAAATTGGACAGATGTAATTTGTGG